TTCTGAAGCAGAAGACGGCATACGAACAAAATCAATAAGGATTCCTCGAGTCTTTCTCATATCGTATCTCATATCGCATCTGCGATCGACACAGGTTTACCTTGTGATACTGCTCCGAATTAACTGCATTCCGCTCCAACTTCATTATATTAAAGTCTTCCTGCAGTACCCACGACATTCTGCCAATCATTATTAAAAACTTGAACACTTTGCTGTATTGTAGCATCATCGTGTCATCCAAGATGATATTCAACGGCCACGATATCTTATAGTTGAGGCAAAGGCATTCTAAGACATTCGGATCTGAAATCTGCAAGAAGCACATTATTATCAGTATCGGAATAAAATATCAATAAACGATAATTGAAAACGGGTGATCGCACTTACGTATAACTGGCATGGTTTGTCGACGGCAGAAAGACTCAAGAGTTCCGAATTGGCGTAATTATTGCTGAACGAGTTCATCAACGCTTTCTCCAAGAGGTTCGTGAGAGTGGCGGAATTAAAGAGTTCGATTGGCGCGGATATCGCGTAGAGCCGTGAATAAAGCGAGTCCGTCAGACTCTTCGCGAATTCGCCGTTCAACAAGAAGAAGTAACTACGTAGGCTGTGCAAGTGCGAAAGCATGTTGTGCTCGTTCACCAGATATTTAATGATCGCGTTGTTAACCAGTCGGCTCTGTATCTGTAACGGAATGATGACGGATTTCTCCAAGTACACTTGAAGCGACGTATGATCGATCATCTCGACGTCAGCTACGGTGAGAGGCGAGGGTGCGGTCGGCGATTTCACGTGGGAATTAACGCCGATAAAATTCGGCAGCTTGAAATTACTGCTCATCGGCGACTCGAATGTTTCTTCGGTGATCGATTTCATGTCGTCGGACAGGGACGAGACTTCCTGACCGGCGTTCGAAGCGAATATATCGTCGCTGTTCGGTACCTGCGACAAAGGAGTGTGCATCGATGCCGTGGTGAAATTGTCAGTCGTGCACGACATCGGCGTATCTATATTCTGCTGCTGCTGCGTATTATTCGTTATCGGCTCGTGCGCTTCACTATTTGCGTTGTTAATCTTATTTGAATACTCCTCGTCACTCGTAGGCCCAAGCACATTCGTCGTTTCGTCCGGCAATTTGATACTGGTTGTGGAAAGAACATTATTGTTCGCGTTTTCCTTCGTATTACTCGAACTTGATTCACTAGTGGTATCAGTTGATATCTGGTTATTGCCGTTTGTATTTGCGCGAACGATAATTCCTTGATTGTCCGTGAGTATCGCGCTGAGCTCATTGTTATTCGGCGTCATACCGTATTCTTGCATCAGGACTTTAAGTTTGTTGCTTTGTGCAGTGGTGATATTGTCTATCCTCTTGATAGCCAAGGACTTAGGCCTGTTAATAGCACCAATAATTCTCTC